GTTAAAAATTCTTGATCTTAGGCTTTGTGTGCTGCTGAAGAATGCATTCCCTGCCCCAAAATTAAGTAAATTTTTATCAGTTACAAAGAGCTAGACATGGCCATGGGCTGTCTTTTTTTTTTTTAATATATTTTATTGATTTTTTACAGAGAGGAAGGGAGAGAGAGATAGAGAGTTAGAAACATCGACGAGAGAGAAACATTGATCAGCTGCCTCCTGCACACCTCCCACTGGGGATGTGCCCATAACCAAGGTACATGCCCTTGACCGGAATCGAACCTGGGACCCTTCAGTCCGCAGGCTGACGCTCTATCCACTGAGCCAAACCGGTTATGGCCATGGGCTGTCTTTTTAAAGATTCCCCTGGTGCCCGTCTCTCCTCAGTCCCCTTGAGATATGGGAGCCTTAACAAAATGCTGAAGGCTGACCTTCCTTTTGACCATCCTGGCTGGGATATCCCGATACTCACAAATGCAGCCAAAATAGCCAATAATAGTCTTGAGGTTAACTCAATTGATTTTTTCCCTGGTTCCAAACTCTTGTGTGGGCTATTGCTTACTTTTGAATGCCCTTTGCACAACCTGGATTGAAGAAGACATCCCATAAACTTGGGTCTAATTAAAACCCTGCTCTTAACACAGAAGAATCTATGTGAATGCTGTGCCTACATTTGGAGAAAGAACTTCCCCGGTTGGCTTTGGTCTTCTCTGTGCAGCACCTCCGTTTGAACCATCCAAGGAGTAGTTGGGATTTTTCTGACAGCCTGCAGAGTAGCTTTGTATGTGTGCGGGAGGGGGCTGTGGGGCAGTGCACAGGTGACTATTGGGGAGACCACAGCAGTATAAAGCTGGGACTGCCTATCACAGGCCAAGTAAAGCAACTGAAGATAACTCATTTAAAGAGGGGGGATTCCTTAGAGAACTCTCCATCTAAGTGGGGTCTATGACAAATGCGCTCAAGGATGGGCACAAAAGCCCACTGCATACGAGGAGCATGCATCAGGATTTGCACCTGAACTTCTCAGCCTAACCCTGGGCCCAGAGAGACAGTGGGGTCATTAAGTGCTCTTCCTCCTGGTATCCTTGTGGTTCACTCTTTAACCTCCTTCTCTCTCTGCTCAAAGCCCGCCGTAGTGGGGCCCTGCCTATCACACTATTTTAACTTGAGTCCTTCCCCCAAACTCACTACCCCTTTCTCTGCCTTCCTTTATTTTGTTTATTGCTTGCCTCCTTCTGGATGTAAGCTTCATGAGGGAAGATGTTTTGCCCTGGTTTGGGTGGGTGGAAGGGTGGGTGGGTTGGTTGGTTGGCTGAGTTTTATTATCATATACACACTATATAGAATATCGCTGAGGACATTGTGGCCTTCAAGAAATATTTCTTGAATGAATAAATGAATGAATGAGGATTCATTAGAGATTTTTGTTTGATATTTTAAAAATGTTTACTCAGATAGTTTTTGCTCATCTTCAGAAGGGAGTAGGAAGCCAGGCAGAAGGTTTAAGGGGCCTGACTTCTGGGCCTCTCTCATGAGAGGCCTGAGGAGTGGCCAGTCCCTGGGAAAACCATGATGGAAACATAACGTTCCAACCGAGTGCTGGGAAAGTATGTAGATTAATGCCATTTTAAAAAGGAGAAAGGAAGAACCAAATGCAAGGCATTAATCTTGACTGGTCATAGTTTCAAAAAGAGAATGAAAGAAAAACAACTCTAAAAGAGATTTTGGAGATAGCTGCGAAATTTGAAAATGAGCTAAACATTAGATGCTTTGGGGGAATTGCTGTTAACTTAGCTCTGATACTGGTACTCAGGTTAAGTGACTATACTCTCACTCTTCGGTGATACGCACTGAAGCTTTCAGGGAAGAAGTATCATAATGTCTTCGACTTGTTTCAACTGCCTCAATGGAGAGGGTGCCCACTCATTCATGCAATGACCCAGCTTTGTCCCCGGCAGGCAGGCCATTGCCCCCATGCGGCGGTGTTCCGAGCCTGTTTTCCACCGATAAGAGCCAGGACCTTCACTGGAAGAAGGTGATTCATGTGTGACTCTGATGAAACCAGGACTCGAGGTCAACATTCTGTTTTCACTTGGTCCTGGATTGGGACATTGGTTTGAAAGTGACTTTTATTCCCTTGATAGCAGATCAAAGCTGGGGCGGTTCCGCATCCCTCCAGCCCCCTGTGCTTGGCTCCTCCCTCATGTGCTAAATTTGAATCGTTTGGTCTCTTCCTTTACCAGTCCAATAAAGAACCAATTAGTCCATGCAACTCGTGACCTTTGTAATGTTTCTATGTGCATCATTGATTTTCTCTATTCATTAATGAGAACAAATTCATCCTCTGTTTCACCTGAAGTTTCATAGGAAATGGCAAGCAAGCAATCTCAGCTTTGCTGCACAGAGAGAGGAACCCAAAGACTCAGAAATACAGCCCTAGTCTGTTTGACTCAGTGGTTAGAAAGTTGTCCCTCGGACTGAAGGGGGTTCAATTGTGTATTTGATTCCAGTCAAGGGCACATGCCCAGGTTGCAGGCTCAATCCCCATTAGGGGGCGTGCAGGAGGCAGCCAATCAATGATTCTCTCTCATCATTGATGTTTCTCTCTGAAATTAATAAAAATATATTTTAAAAATAAATAGATAAATAAAATAAAAAGTCAATGGGAATATCCTCAGTTGGAGATTAACAAAAAAAAAAAAAAAAAAAAAGACTCAAATATAAAGCGTGTGTCCAAAGGCAAAAATCCGAATGGAAAAGAATTCAAAGGAGACCCAGGATTCCCAGTTCCCAACTTCCGCCTCCCTCCTGGCAGAAGTTGGGCATTTTTCATTGGAACTGACCACTTTTTTTCCATTTCAGAAAGCTTGCAGCCAGGCAGGAAGATGAGAAAACCACAGTCAGGCACCCACCTCCCAGGGGGTGGGGCCTGCTTCCAGCTGCACCGGGTGGAAAGTTACCTGATTTTGTTTTTCACTGTTTCAAAGCCCAGTTTTGCAGCCTGTCTCTGAGTACAAACATTAGGGACTGACCTGTTCCAAACTGAACTTCAGCCTTGCAGGATTCAAATCTATCTTTTCTTAAAAGAATGCACCCCTTATGATTAAAAATAAAAAAATACAAGAAAAATCATTTTAAAGACAGCTAAAGTGAGGGTTGGCAGGAGAAAGTTTGTTAAGGATTATAAATAGGACAAGATGGAGCCTTTCTCTGAAATCCAGAATCCTGGCAAGTACCATGGCTGGGAATTTAAAGGAAATCATCTAAAAGTTGAACATTTGTCTTCATTGTGGTTTTCCAAAACGGAAAACTGTCTCTTCAAAAATGTATAAACTGTCACAGACTGAGAGAGGTGATGAGAGCGACCCGGATGTCCAAGTGGCGGGGCCTGGGTCGGGGTGGAGGGAAGTGCTTGTCCTGCCCTTGGAAAAACTAGCTACATGGTAGCAGGGAGGTTGGGGGTGTCTCAGGAATCTACTTCACTTTAAAGGAGAAAAACCAAAAGTAACTCTGAAGTCACCAAGAAGCAACTTAAGAAGTACACAGGAAGGCACTCCAGGCAGTGCCAGTAACATGACCTTTAACAAAATCACGTTGGCACCATATTCTTTGAACAAAGCTGGAGTGAGCAGGACGTGGTGGTTTCTCAGTATGTTTTTCCCATTTCACCATGAACATCTGGGCTGTTGCCATGTGACTGTCCCATCTTTGGGAGGCCACAGCTAATCCCTCAGCCCTCACGGAAGCCCCTGCTCTTTTCTTTCTTCCTTTTTTTTTTTTAAATTTCAGAGAGGAAGGGAGAGGGAGAGCGACATAGAAACACCATTAATGAGAGAGAATCATTGATCAGCTGCCTCCTGCAGGTCCCCCACATGGGGGATCGAGCCTGCAACCCGGACATGTGCCCTGACTGGGAATCAAACTGTGACCTCCTGGTTCATAAGTCGATGCTCAACCGCTGAGCCCGAGCGTCCCCTGCTCTCTTCTAGAAACCAGTTGTCAGGATGACCCCCGGAGGTCGGAGGCGACCCGCAAAGGGGTCTCCCACAGGCATTGAGAGACCGCATAGCAGCAGCAACCGTGTGGGCTCATTGCTTAAGACCAGCCAGCAGGTCTCAGGAAGGAAACAGAAAAAGCCGGCATATTTTGCTTTCCACTTTCAACTGAAAAGAAATATAACTAAGCCAGCGTAGGGCACAACGACAAACAATACCTGCTGGTGAAGGCTGCCCACCTCCTCAGACCATCGTGAGCTTTGCCCAGGGTAACCAGCCCTCGCTTTAGATGGTCATATAGCAGACAGATTCCTTTCAAAGCTTCAGAAAGCAAAATCACAAAGTGGCCCGAGGAGGAAAATTAATGACCAGAGACCTCAAAAACAATGGCAGCTAACAGACTCCATTTAGGGCCAGGGCAGACTTCCGGGGTTGTTTGTTACGGGTTTTGTCCGCATCCGCCTTTCCTACCAAGCTTACTCTCCGCTCGCCTGGCTCAGCTGCATCCCCAGAGCTTAGCCGATAAGGAGGAGCTTAATAATTGTTGGCAAGAACAAATAAGTGGATTGCAACCGCGTCAGAAGTGATGAGTGCAAGAGGAGAATGACATTGGCTTCCAAATATTGGTCAAGAGCTTTAAGTGGGACGAGCCAAGGATCTTTAAGGACTATGCTCTCATCGGACCAGGGCACTTTCTGGGTCTAGAATTCTGGGGAGGTGACAAGGTCGCCGTCTGCAGTCTTCCTGAAAGGAAAGAGTTAAACACGGCTAAGCCTGGGAGCCTGCGGGGGTGGTATGCTCACCAGTGCACCTGCCTGTGGGGCTGTCGCCTCCATCTCTGCCCGCACCACCCCCCACACCGCAGAGGGGGGATGCTGGGCTTTCCGGTCTTGCTTAGTGTGCTTGACCAAAGGTGACTTCATGATCTAAGGTCGTGCCCTCCCCCCTTCTGAATCGATAATTTAATGTGACTTATCAGAAAGGGAAAGAACTGTTTACTTTAAAAGCCTGGATCCCATAAAGGGAGAGGGACAGGGCCTAAAACCCACAGAAGCCCGGGGCTCGCGCCCACGGCCGCCCCCAAGCAGAACAGGGAGCCTGGACCAGAGAAGGGGCCCTGGGCTGAGGACTTGAGCAACTGAAAGGTAAGGTCCGCTCTTCCCATGAGCCCTCCAACTCCCTGTGTGAGTTAGGCTGTTCTTCTGGAGGCTCACCGATTTTCAAAAGTGGGGGTGAGCTGTGACCAGGTGTTTAAAAAGACCCCACACGACACCTGAGCAAGGTGCAGCGGCAAACACGGCATTCTTTTTTTTTTTTTTTTTGCCAGACAGAATACCATTTTATTCGTTTATTAATTTTCATTTATTTATATAACAGATTTTAGACAGGCTCAGGACTCGCAACCTCTGTGAGGTGAAGTAATTCTCTGAGACGCTGAGGGAAGTAGACTCCTCTCACAGAAGCACCCTTACGTGCACCGAAGTCGTGCATGCCATTTAGGGCTTCACCAGTTGCCTGAGACTCCAAGTTCCTTGGCTCTTTGTCTGCAGGGGCGGAGGAGGGAGGATATCCTAGAGGTATCTGACTTCTTTTTTTTATTTTTATTTTTTATTTATTTATTTTTTTTATTAGTTAAGGTATTACAAATGTGTCCTCATCCCCCCCATTAACCCCCACCCCCACCCCCCCCACCCCGCCCCGCACACTCATGCTCCCATCCCCCTGTTGTCCATGTCCATTGGTTTGGCTTATATACATGTATACAAGTCCTTCGGTTGATCTCTTCCCCTTACCCCCGCCCTCCCCTACTTTCCTTCTGGGGATTGATAGCCTGATCGCTGTTTCTGTCTTTGGATCTGTCCCTTTTCATCAGTCTATGTTGTTCTCTATAATCCACAAATGAGTGAGATCATGTGGTATTTATCTTTCTCAGACTGGCTTATTTCACTTAGCATAATGCTCTCCAGTTCCATCCATGCTGTTGCAAAAGGCAAGAGTTCTTTTTTTTTTTTTTACCGCAGCATAGTATTCCATTGTGTAGATGTACCACAGTTTTCTAGTCCACTCATCTGCTGATGGGCACTTAGGCTGTTTCCAAATCTTAGCTATGGTGAATTGTGCTGCTATGAACATAGGGGGAACACGGCATTCTTGAATGTGTCTGCCATGTTTATTGCTTCTTCAGAAAGCCTCGAGGTTTTTCTAGGTGTTCTTCTCGCCCCGCAGAGGGAAAGGAGGAGGCTGGGGAGGAGCTGAGGGCTCAGAGGCGGCGTGGGCTTTTTTCTGCCCTTGGCGTGGCGGTCATGAAGCTGCACCCTGCTCGATGGTGGTCTGATTTAACGATGGCACCAAGGCCTTGAAGGTCCCACCAGGAGTCTGACTGGAACTAGGAGGTTTATCCGACCAGGAATCCCTCCTCTGCCCAAGCTTCTGGGCAAGCACATGGCAAAGCTCACGGTTTTGTTCTTCAGCTTCTAAAATGCCAGCGTCAGAGCTGTTCATGCGTCCGCCTCGGGCTGGTCCATCCACAGCGCTGGAAGTAGCTGGGCACCTGCAGGGAAATGGTGCCCAGGAGCCCCCCAGCCTCAGCAATTCTCTTACAAAGAGGCTGTTGAGACGCCGACTCAGCTGAGAAGTTGCCCAGTGACCCCCTCCTCACCCCTGGGTGGCGATAAGCATGGTCAGGAGCATCCGGTCTTCCCTCAGGACAACTTCAAGGAGAAAAGAAATGCTGCGTTGCTCCCGAATGACAAGGAGGCTTTTTTTTTAAAATGTCCATGAACTTTCCAAGTGACAGGACTCAGACTTGTGATAGGGACTCTCTTTGACTTCATCTAAACTCTAAACTCTAACAAAGCCCAAAAGAATCAAATGGATGCATTTCACACATCTATTTGAACTGATTAGTGAATGTGGGTTTGGAATTAAGAAAAAGCATCCCCATTTAGCTTTTGCTTTTAAAGAAAACTATATTTATTTTTTGGTCCTGACGGATCAGGTTTTCTGCAAGGTAGCAACACTTCATGATCCCCAAAGCACTCTTTTCTCAGTTCTCGGGGGTTGGCCCCAGAATGTCCTCTGCCCCTGGGAAACAAACTGTGCAGGCAAAGGCGAGCTGCTCATGCCCGGATCTGACTTAAGAGAGAATAAGGAGTTTTGTGACATTCCTGGTACTTGTGAATCAAAGGCACCTTGCACAAAGCTGTGATGCACACAAAATAGTTACAGATGGAAGTAATTGCTAGAGGGCTAGGCTTTTAAAGGCTTCCTCTGTGATGAACCCCCCTCTCCCCATTAATGGAAAAAAAAAGCCCATGACATATAAAAAGGGGCAAGCTCGGTCTTGCCTGTTTCTCATACCCATGGGCTCAATGGGAAAACTGCATTCGGAATTGAGCACAGCTAGAAGTGTCTAGAGATTCGGTCCAGGTTGGGAAGGGGAGGGAAGGTTACACCGAAACACCGCACAGAAATGTGGTAATAGCCGTTTAGGATTGCCTAGCACTGACCTCTCTCAGGAAATCCCAGGAAACAAGGCACAAGGAGAGATGGGGAGAGCGGGATGTGGCTGAGATCAGAGGAGAGACCTAGCAGGACCCCTCAAGGCCTTTTCTAAGCTGCAGAAAAATGTGCTGGCATTGGGACCATCACCTTGATTAATGTCCAACATCTTTGCCTTAAGCATTCCTTTTTTTTTTTTTTTTTAGGAAATAACAGGTATAATTATGTCTCAACCACCTTATCAACTTTCTAGTTTTTATGAACTAGTACTATTTAAGTTGTTACATTTGAAAATACTAGATCAAACTATTTTTTATATCTGCAGAATGAGAAATCACTATATATATATATATATATATATATATATATATATATATATCCCCAAGTAGATCCTGGCATTAACCACTTCTCATTTTCTTGTTAGTGACATATTATTGGATGGCATTTGGAAAAAGCAAAAACATTCTGCTTGCTGTTTCAACCGCATTGCAGGTTGGCTGAGTTTAGCCTGCAGAAACAATCAAAAAAGTAATAAAATATGATGGCCATTAGAGCTATGTTTGAAATTTGTGCACAAGGCTGAGAACATAACAGGCATGCAATAAATGTGTTTATGCATCAATCATACCATAAAATTATTGTACTGCATAATAAAGTATTTCACTAATAATTTGCTAGGAAATTAGCCTGAGGCCCATCTCTCAGCACAGCACTAACTTGTCAAGCTTGTTGACAAGCAGCACAGACATAGGTAAGCTCTACCCACCCAATTTCAGAAGAGCCTGTGCAAGAAGGAATTTTTATTAGGAATGCACACACACACACACACACACACACACACCCTGCTTACAAATTGTTTAAATTCTAATTACTTATCTCAGTCCAAAAGTACTACATGACTTGTAAAAATTAATAAATGCCAAGAAACAAAAGGAAGGGGAAAAGGAAACCCTAATTCTACCATTCAGATATAACCATAGTTATTATTTGATGTTTTGGCCCCTGGCATGTATGCATTTTTCATGAAAAGGAGCTCATGCTGTGTATATTATGTTGTAAAGTACCTCTTCATTCAATAACATATCTTGAATCTCTTTCCAAGTCAACAACCTTTTTTTTTTTAACATCAACTTAAATGACTAGAGTGTATCATAAATACATTAACCTTCTATCACTGGACATGTAGGTTGTTTGCAATTTTTACTATTATAAACAATGCCTCCGTGGACAACCTTATAGATAAACCTTTCTATAAATTTGTAGGAAAAAATAATTTTTCTCCAAATTCAAGGACTTTTTCCTTGAGATATTTTTCTTAGACCAAAGAAATAGAGGTTTATTTGGGGAGGAGTTGGTAAGTTCTACCTGTAACACATTAACTTCCTCTCTTCTTCCCTGTTTACTCTTCCTCCCGGTTTCTGTCTTTTGCAGATTATTGAAAGCCAGAGCACACAGAGCTCACCGGGGGAAGTGGAGGGGCCGGATGCTGCTATGGGACACTGTAAGTGAAATGGCCCAAGCCCTTACCCCTTACAGGGCTCTCCAAGCGTGTCCTACCAGGACCATTTCAACTAGCAAATTGTCCACCTCCCATGGACTTTTCCCAAATGAACAAAGAGATTTCTGAAGCCTATGGTCATGGTCAACAATGTCCCTTGAGTGGCCAGGAATTGGGGGTTTCTGTTCTAGGGCCCTCAGTCAAAGACAAAGCGGATGAGCTTGGCTAACTTGTTAGAAGGAACAGTAAGGAAGGCAAGAACCAGAGACAGTTAACCACACAAGTATGTCCACCATGACTGCACCCCAGGGGCCATCTAAGGGTCGTTGGTGGTGTTGGGGGCCAGCTGGAACTCTAGAGTTCTATTTGGTGTCAGTCGTGACCAAAGTGCCAGGTGAAGCATTCCACCTACAGAGAGAAGGTCTAACGGTGGGCCAGGCGGCACTATCCCGCGGCCCAGCCAATGGCTGCACCCCGTAAAGGCAAGTCAGGGCACAGACAGAAGCCAAAGGAAGTCAGCCACGTAATAGGAAGAAAAGCAAATCGACACTGTCAGAAAGGAAAGAAAAGAGGCTGGGTGCTACCTCTGAAACAAATATAATATTTTATATCAATGATATCACCATAAAACTGAAAAGCAAAAAATAAATAATAAATAAATAAAGGCTCCAATCCTCCAGTCCTGGGAGCTGAGTGACTTGCGTAGTGTGCTATCAGTGCTTAGTCTGGGTTGAAAAGGGTGATTTATGGTCTGCGTGTGAATAACCATTTTTACTGAAAAACGCAGAGGGTTCACTTTCCATTGTTAGGAATGAGCCTGCAGCCCTAGCTGGTTTTGCTCAGTGGATAGAGCGTTGGCCTGCAGACTGAAGGGTCCTGGGTCTGATTCTGAAGGGCATATGTCAGGATTGCAGGCTCAATCCCCAGTAAGGGGCATACAGAAGGCAGCCAATCAATGCTTCTCTCTTATCTCTCTCCCTCTCCTTTCCTCTCTGAAATAATAATAATAATAATAATAATAATAATAAAAGAATGGGCCTGCATATATGCATAACCCACGGACACAGACAATAGTGCAGTGAAGGCCTGGGGTGGGGGTGAGGGAGTGGAGGGGCCAATGGGGAACAAAGGGGGACATCTGTGATATTCCCAACAATAAAGATAAATTTAAAAAAGAAAAAGAGAATGGGCCAGTTTTGGGCCCAAGCGAGGCTCCGATCAAATGTTAACACTCGGTTCTCCTGGGATAAAAATAAACTGGCCCCCTTCTCCCTCCTTTTCCAGCATTCGGGAGAAAATAAAATATTAGGTGAAATGCTTTATTGCCTCTCATTCTCCATTGTGGGCAGGAGTGCATATATCAGTTAGAAACCATTTTTAACAGGAAACCCAGGAAACCAGAGGGATTTATTCATTGGAGGCTCCCATTTGCAAGAAAATGACTATTTTTCATGAAAAATTGAATAGTTCCCCCCTCTCTCTCCATTTTCCTCATTCCCTTCCCTCATCCCTCACCCACTACGATGGTGGAGAACAACTGTGGTGAATAAGATTTAAAATCAGGATGTCTCTGCATCCAATAGACACTAGCGAGAGTAGGCAACAGCCCCTCTAAAAGACATATCCCCAGGCAAAATAATGTTAATCTTCTTAGACTGCAGAATGTACCACATTTACTGATGACGGGTTGAGATACGTGGTGAGGTGAGGGTTGGGGAGGACTCCGTCATATGATTACGGATTATAATGGCGACCCACTAAGTATTCATTTGCTAAAATCGATGCCCTCTGGGGATTCTTTCTCTCTTAGCCCTTTTAGGAAACTGATGCACACAGGTTTCTCACCCATTTCCATGGGGAGTCTTTCTTCCTGTTGGCGGGAGGCTCTGGGGGTGGTAATAGAACAAAAGGATGTGGATCCCTTTATCAACTTGAACACATAAGCCTGACATCCGTGAGTCTTCATCTCTTCCCGGTGTTCGAGATGCTCCCCATCCTTGATCCCTCTTTTCTCCGCTCAGGTTACTGCGCGAAGCTGGCGAGGTGCCTGGCGATTGGTGGCCAGGGTGGACGGATGTGCGGGTGAAGTTAACACCGTCACAGCCACAGACGTTCCTTAGCAGAGCTGTGGAGTGTGACAATGGTGTTTGTGTCCAAACTATCAAACGCCATTATCACACTAAATAGCTACTGTTAGGCAATCCTTCCGCTCAATAAATGCTTTGGCATCTGTTTGGAATGAGCAAGAAGGTTCCGCTTAGAGCAGTGTTGCCAGTTATGTGTGGTTACTGAATAAATTCCGGTCCCTTTATGCTCATAACCAATATGTCATCTGAACTGTGCCTCTCGCATGCTGTTAAATACTTGAGTTGATGATGAATGTTCTTGTTTTCCTGAGCCAATAAAAGGATCACAGTGCCCGCCTCCCACCCCCCCAAAGCACCCAGCCTGAGGCTAGGCACATGGTAATTGTTCAACCCACACTTATTGAGTTGAAATGAATAGTTAAGCAAGTGTTAGACACAGAAAACTAAAACCAGGTTAGACCTACTAGTAAGTTATGCAAACCACAGGTTTATCAGTACAATATTAAGGTATTTTACTTTTCATCATTAAAAAACGTAACTTTTCTAATAACTGACCTATCAGAAATTCTAGAATAATAAAAGAATGGGCCTGCATATATGCATAACCCATGGACACAGACAATAGTGCAGTGAAGGCCTGGGGTGGGGGGTGAGGGAGTGGAGGAGCCAATGGGGAATAAAGAATAATAAAAGAATAAAGAAACTGGGTGAATAATAAAAGAGATAGAAACATCAATGATAAGAGAGAAACATTGATTGGTTTTATTTCTACTGATTTTAATCAATTTCCAGGCTGATTACTGAATTTGAATCCTAGGTTCATCTTCCTTATGTTTCAATCAGTTACGATCAGGAAATTATATATGAGCTGTGTGTGAGTTTCCTTAGCAAATCTGAACACTTTAAACCCAAGCAGCTTCTGGCACAATTGGACCAGCTGGGTGGTCTAGTGTGAAGCACCTCCTTTCTCTGAAAGGCATTTAAAGTAAGGAGTGAGTTCTGTTGGTGTGTGGCTAAAGCTTCTCTCGTGACTTGCTAAAATGAACCAGGATATGTTTAATCAAATTGAAAGGATTGGAGCAACCACCAGAAACCATTCAGTCACTCATCAGCTCTTCATTTATCAAATAAATATGCCCTGAGTGGCTCCCATGTGTCTGGCACTGACCTAGGCATGAGGGATGAATTATATGTGTCTGACATCATTTCCAGACATGGCGCTCACTGGCTCACATTCAGTTTGGGATCATTCTGATTGGTCATGTTTATTAGCAAATGAGCAAAATTTTGTAAAATTATCCCAAGTCCCGTGCTGGAAAGCACCACTGGAGTGCAGTGCACACATCTACGAGGCACTCACTGTCAAGGTTAGAGAAGCTCCCATCAAAGAGGTCCACTCCCGACTGCCCCGCATCCCCTCCCACCTCAGCCAATATCAACAGGAGAACCGGATGCCCCTGAAATCATTAATTTTTGTGTTTAATTTGAGAAAGCACTGACTGAACAAGCATTGGGAGAGGTTTCTGCTGTCATTCCCCTCACTCCCAACCACACGATTTCACTTGATCCACACAACACATGGCAAAGGTGACAGGTTTGGGGCTCTTTCCCCAGGCAGTGACCTGAGACAGAATGGTTATGGAATCGTCTGGTCGTGCAACTACAGCTCAACATGGGTGTCCTGAATCTAATGTCCTCTGCGTGTCACCCTCCTCGGCCTGATTATTCCACACAACTTCCTGTTCCACAGCTGGGGCCATGTAGGAGCTGGGTTAATCACAGCAGGACTGGATCAATATCCTCAGCCCCCCAACAACGCTGTCTGCTTTGCGAAGAAATCCTGTGGGGAAGCCTGTAGAATGAGAGAGAGATGCGTCACATGACAAGCTTTCCTTATGAGTGTTCACCATGCAGAGAAGGCCAAGTGCTGTGAGCTGTAATCATGAAGAGAAGGGGAGGAGAAGGGAAGAACATCTCAATGGTAGTTTAGGAGTTAGGAAGGGGGTGACCAAGACATGGATCAGCCAACTTAGGGACCAGCCGACTGATGTGACAGTGCCTGACCCAGAGCCTTCAGGTCCCAAAAGTCCCCACGACCATGCGAGTGGGGACCATGCGAGTGGGGACCAAGCGAAGCGGCCTCATACACGCCTCCTCTTTCCATGAGGCTTTGCTCCGGTGGAATTAAACAGGGAACAAAGGAAGGGCATTCTGTGTCATTTCTACTGGGTTGGCTCATCTCGCAGCTTCTTATGATTCCTGCCTGCGTCAGTTCTACATCCAAGATGGGCCTTGTTCTTTGTGTAGAATGCTAAGGGACGCACGTGGAAGGCAGCGCTTCCGCCCTCCACTTTGAAGCCATGACTGGTACAGTCCTGCTGCTCCTTCCCGGCCCAGCTTCATCGTTTCCACCATCCCCTCGATGATTGTTGCCGGTCCTCTCCCATGAAGCGCCCCGGGGACACGCTGACTTCCAAGGTAGTTAGCAAGATGAACGGGTCCACTTGGAAGTGCAGTTAAAGTCATAGCGGAGGTGGGAGGCAGCAGAGAACCAGGCAGCCACACGGTGAGGGTTTCTTCCCCCGGAGCTGGCCTTACTTCGCTCTGAGAATCACACCAGTGAGGCCCTATGGTCCTTTCATCGTAGGACGATGTGTGCCCCAAACGTGACAATTGCCACTTGAGGCCTGTCCAATGCACCAGCCAGCCCTCTGGGGCTGGGAGATAGTGCAGCAGTTGTCACAGATAGATGGCTCATCTATACTTTTTTCTGGACTCTTCTTAAACCTTTGCTTTCCACCAGTTTCCTCTGTTCTGATGAGAAAGCCAAAGCCCAGAGCGGCTGAGGCACGTGCCCCGGGTAGCTCAGTTAGTCTGTGGCCCAGCTGGCCGCAGAGGACAGACATGCGCCTCCTATTGTCCTGGGTTCGGGGACACAAAGAAGAAGGAGGCCTGGCCCCTTCTCTGAGCTGCTCTCAACCTGGGAGTTAGATAGTTGCCCACACAAAGACATTAAGACTTCCAAGGACGAGATGCCATCACAGAGCCCTGACAGGTGCCCAGGGACTTGAATTATGGCCTTGACTTCTTCCCAGATGAAGAAGCACTGAGTCAGATTTTACCCTCTGCTTTGTTACTGTGGGGAAATAATTGCTCTTGTTTATGTGGATGATTCCATTGCCAAGAGGTTATAGGCAAAAGACCGTGGTCGTACTGGGTGTCAGTGCGGGAAGTGATGGTCTTGCTGCTCTTACTTCGCCAGTTCCTGCATCATAAGCAGACAGGATCTGCAGAGGGGGACTTGGTAGGGGGCACAGAATGGATTAGAACATGTCAGGCTGTGTGGGAGGAATTTTTGTCTCGCAGGAGCTGGGTAAGGAGTGAGCTGGCTGCCTTTATGATGCAGGCTGGTTTCCGCTCCCCATGCCAGGTCATGAGCCCAGCTCTTCCACTGTGGCCTCCTCCCCAATCACAGAAGCCCTACGCCACAGCCACCAGTTGCATGTCTCACTGCCACTCAGCTCCCCCTGCCTGGGGACAGGCTCAGGGAGGCTGTTGGAGACAAACCCACCGCAGGAGCCCTAGGGCCTGTGGGGAGTTAAAGGAATGGGGCATCCACTTTCTACTCTTTACTATCCAAGTTCCCTTCTAAGTTTTCTAAAAGGAAAGGAAGGGTTTCAAACACATGCAAAGGTAAGACACTGTAAGTGACTTCAAAGGGCCTAACTTAGAAAGCTGGGTCACCTATATGCTCTGCAATAAGAGTTATGTGATGCAAGTCTATTGTGTACCTAGAATATTTGAACACTGTGCATAGGATGCAAAGATGAATAATTCATTCACTCATTCAACCAAGATCCAAACATGTGTTCCTACTATGTGTCAGGCATTGTGCTAGTCACTGAGAATTAAACAAAAAAGATGCCCTTTCCAGAATATAGGGCTGACAGTCTAATGAGGACACAGGCAAAGTGCGTCACAGCAGTGTTTAGTCACAGATTTTTAAAGCAGGTACGGGGGATGGTGGGCTGAAAGGAAGGAAACGCCATCTGTGGTGTGGGAGAAAGGCATGAGAGGTATAAGGGACAAGCACTCCAGGGAGGACGCACTCTGGTGCTGCAGGCAGCCACCCAGTTAAAGAGAAATCCGTGACCCGGCAAGTGAAGCATAGAAGTGTCCACCTTGACAGAGCTCAAGTTCGCCTCAAGTTCCCAAAGCATCTCCCCACGATTTCCTCCCTGGAGCAACTGAACTGAGCCTGGAGTTTACTTGGTAGGGATTTTCCTCTCAAACATCCACAGAAAACATCGCCTTTTAAATAAAAGAAGCACATTGCACTTTTGGCAGGTGACTAGCGCAGTGGCCTCTGTGTCTGTGTGTCTGTAGTGCACATGTAAAGAATATTAATTTCTCAAAGGAGCTGGGTAACATGCCTTTAAATTCTCATTCAACTGAGACACTTTTTTTTTTTTTTTTTAACCAGGGAAAAGCCAGGCCTGTGATTTCCAATTTAGGCTGAAATGAACATCCTGGTAATCCCAGCCCGCACGCTCTATGTATCATACTGCCCCCAAGTGGTAGGCTATGTCCCTGCATGTCATACCTCAGTGGTTCCAAAGGATTTCACCTTTGCTGCCTCGGTGTTCCAAACTGATGGCATTGAGAACTTCCCCGGCAGCAGAATCGGCTTTTTGGATAAGGTAAGTTTTCAAAGGCTTGAGAGGCAGAGGGGGAGGAGTGAGAGAGGTCGTTCTATTGAATGTCAGTTGACCCAGTCAATACACCAGACAAGAACTAATCTTGTTCTATCTAGAGAGCAAGTCCCTTCCTTTTCACCTTTCTGGCTCCTTTAGCCCAATAAAGAGCTCGTTCAAGCCCATCTCATTTTTAAGGCTGCCTGTCTTCCGCGCAGCACATCCTGTCTTGCTTTTCTGCGTGGTGTCCAGTTGCAGCTGGATACGAAGAGATCAGAGATTATCTCCTGCGATTTGGATGTGCCGGCTGCTGTGTTTACAGCCCCTCTCACTGAGCGTAACAGCGGTGCCCAAGACTGCTCTGGCTCCCGTGTCTGCATGGTCTCAGGTCATCTCAAATCCTTTGCTCAGCAATTAGTGATGCATTAATTGAATAAAGTAAGGAAAGGGCCCCCAGGGGGTCCAAGAAGTGGCTGACCCCCTCCCCCCCCCCCCAAATGTAGGCGGTGTGGTAGGAAATTTTGATGGCAAAAAGCATT